CACCCACAAAACAGACACAACTGCAGTCAGCTCCGAAACCCTCAGGAAAAATGTCCAGTGTAACACAAGCCTAGAGGCAGCAGCCACCCCTCATGTGATCTTTGTCCGACAGTCCCAATTATTTAACAAGGAAGAATTTTCAGACGCAGTCACCATGGTAAACGCAAAAGAGCAAGAAGAAAAGCCACATTCATCAACTGATACTGGAAAAGCAGTTGCAATATCTTCCTGTCGGTCAAAACAAGCAGCTATTGGTGGGGACGCAGGCAAGCCTTTACCTTTCGACAGGAAAGGAAGCGTAAAAAGTAACTTTTCTAGAGAGGGTTCTGGTAGACGTTTTACCACAGGAAGCATTACCACGCCTGCTGAGCAGGCTTATGTCGCACAAAGGTACTCATATGTTAGAAAATGGTCCATAGATATCGAGGCACTGCAAGACCAGTTGGAGAACCCCAAAATCCATGGAGGGAATTATCCTTACAAAGAACTCAAGCTTTCCGAAGACAAACATGATGAAAAAATCACTAAGGCTGCTTTTTTCACTGATATGAACAGTATTTGTGAAGCCAGTCCAAAGAAAGAGGCTCTTCATCGAGATAAGACAAGAAGTATAAAAAGAAGACCCAGCAGGATGGAAAGCATCACAGAAGGCAATACAAATAAAAATACATTTACTTTTAATAAATCTTGCATAGAGACAAGTTTTTCTACACTAGAGGGAGCCTGTGAGACACAAACTACAGGGGTGCCAGGGAGTTCTGGAAAAGTCTTCAGGAAAAACAGCAAAAAATATCTACAAAACATTCCAAGCGTTGAGCAAGAGATGCACCAACACAAATCAGATGCAATCAAAGAAGGGACACAATCAAATCCGCCACCCATCTCCCAGTGCAAAAGGAAAAACGGAGGCGAAATGGACATCACTGCCTTAACTGAAGAAACAAACCACAAGGCATCAGAGGCAAAAATCTGGAGAAAGAAACAAAAGCTTCTTGGTTGTTCTTTAATAGCATTTGTGTTCATGCTTTCCATTCTGCCACATCAGATTATCCAGTTGGCAAGGGCCGCGCTGAGTCAAGAGCTTTACATAAATCTCCATACTTGCACTTCTGTCTTAATTATGCTTCAAGCTGCTATCCATCCTCATATCTTTGTGTACATGAGCTACAAACTGACAGACCTTGTGATAAAACGACCAAAAAGGAATTTCATTTTCAAATGGATCAGCTGCCTGCCACTAAAGAATGTGACAGACCATAGCAGCAATGAAAGTCAAGCCTAATGATATAATATCCAGTATATTTTATGATCTTTTTTTTTCAATAATGATACAGATACGTCTATTGTGGTATTTATGGAACTTTTTTGTTGTCAATTTAAACACTGAATATCTATTGGCATTGGCATATAATTGGAACTTTTTTGTTAGTCTTTTTTCTTTTTAAAGCTAGATATAAACATCTTTTAGACAAGAACTGAAACAGACCAGAAACTGGCTCATTTCATCAGAAACCAAGATTAATCAGCCAATGGATGGTTTCATGCTTATGAACCACCAAATCCTTATCACAAAGAGATTCCAATTTGCTTCAGTTAATAAAATCAATAGTTAACTTTACAATTAGTCTAAACCTACAGAGAAATTATAGTCTACTTTGACCCAAGAGAAATCAGTTGTTGTCCCAAATGTACCTGTTTCAGAACAAATAAGAGGGCTTATACTGATCGGCGGACCAAATATGGCAGACCCTATATTAAAGAAGAGCTGACTAATCCACTGATGGTCTCCCTGCTTCCACACATGCCTTCCTTGCAGGGATCTCGCAATTAAACCTCTGAACCATGATTTTATCCATTTTATGGCACGTGTGAAGGCAGGGAGACCATTGGTGGATAAGTCAGCTCTTCTTTCATGTAGGGTCTGCCATATTTGATCCTCAGATCAGCAGATCAGAGGATCATCTGTTGTAAAGGCCCTCTGAGACTTTTGTTACAAACCAATACTTTCAATTATTTAATTGAATTAATATAAATTTTCTTGGACCGAGGTAGATAAAATTAAAAAAGCTAAGGCCAATTTTCAGGGGAAAATTTTTATTTGTGATACTTGCTCATGGTAGTTTGCCGTGCATACCTCTCCAATTCCAGTCCAAGATTTACCTTGTCTTAACAACATGTGAGAGTGTAACTGTTTAAAATCAGTGCTTCTACATTGTTTTTGTATTCCAGACAACACATTAATTTGGGAAGATATATTTCATACTTAGGGCAGCAAATGCTCCCATTAATGAAACTATAACAGTAGTTTATCATGCACAATTCTGTATCATACATTTAATATTCTAATTATCCGTATTATTCTTTATTTGCCTGTAACATAAATAAGTTATGTCATAGTGTTCTATAAAATGTTTTAAATGCTTACTTCACAGTTCATTAATCATTTGTAAATCATAAAAAAAATATTTAACTTAAAACTTTGATATATATATCCATATTTAAAAAAATATTTATGATAAGTTTTTTTTCTAAATAAAAGATAAATGTTGTAAGTAACAAAAAGTTGGTTTATCAGTCAAAATATACTGTTTTAAGTATATTTTGTAAGTCCTTCATGCTCAAGTTATTTTAAGTCATATGTGACAAACAGGTTTTACTTTGGATGAGAATTCAATACATATCTATGGTTAATACGCAAGAGAAAAAAATTGGCAAGAAACCAACATACTAGTGTTATTCACCTCCAGTAACAAAACACATTGGTAAAGGAAGGTAATACATTTGGCACATGTGGTAAGCTTAGTTTAATCAATCTTTGTTAAATCAGACTTTTCATAATCAGACGTCCATATAATCACTTTGTTTAAGCAGACAGACAGCCCACGCGGGGACTATGTACCAAGTGTAAGGCAACTCCGCCTTTAGCTTCATAATTAAAAAAAAAAACCAAGGTGAAGGGAACTAATTAACCAAGATGTTTTAGGCAAAATGTCAGTTTTGATTTTCTCATTCCCAGAGCAGTTATGCTTTATGTTAATAATAATCAAGGGATTAAAGAAGATGCCATTTCCTTTGGCTTACTTAATCTAATTGGTTTTATCTCTTTCATTATACTTTACAAATATTGATGGCAAAGCCTATGAGAATTACCTTCATAGCACCCTGAGTATAGTCAAGGCATACAACTGCTAATATAAGAAACCTATATTTTCCAGAAATGAACCAACAAAAACAAAAACTAGCCAAGAACCCTATTTTACAAAAGAAAAATTAGTCTCTGCTAAGCAAGCTAAACAAATTTAGCCACTTCAGTTGCTTTTCACAAAAAAAAAAAAAAAAAAAAAAAAAATTGCAAGGGTCGCTTATCTCTCTCTTGAACTTAAAACAATGCCCATGGTCCAAATGGTAATTTTTCTTGAAGGGGATTGAAACTGATTATGATGGCAACAGCCTGTTTAGGTATCAGTACTACCTAACTACCAGACTCCGCACCGAAGGATCCAAAATTCATTGGTAGATCAGATCACACTACCCGTTTTCAACGCACTTCACAGTATCATACCCTGGGACAAATTTTGTCCGACAAACCCGAGCTCAAGCTGTCATCCAGGTACAATATGTATTGCATCTCATTTTTGTCAAGTAAGAGTCGTAAGACTACAACAATATGGCGAAAGGTGCAGTCAGTAACAAAATCGAATAATTTCAGTCAACAACATTTGATTGTTACCAGTAAAACGAACATTCAGGATCATTCCATGCCAAGTCTGGTAGGCCTGGGTATGTCCACTACATCAATGGTGCAGCAATCATCTAAAGACTAAGATAGAGGCTTGGTCCAGTATCACAGGGTTTATTACAGTCTGCTATCTAAGTTTAACACACTTAACCAAGCACATATTTCACAGGAAAATTTGATGACATTATGGATGAACTGGTACAATTTTTGTATCTAATCATTTCCCCATAATTTTTGTTTCTGTTTATTTGTGATACAATTTTTCAAATTAAAAAAGAAATCCAGTATATTGTCCAAAATTATTTTTATAATCTAGAGGTAAAGAATTCCACTTATCAAAACTTCAATTAGTCACACCAACTTTCTCTTTGATGTTTTATGGTATTATTCTGGAAAGACATAATTCTATAAAGAATGTTACTGTATTGAACAACATTAAAGGGAAAACAACTGTTCATACTATATCCATATTGCACAATAAATACACTGTAAACAACTCAAAGAAATATAATAAATTCTATTTTACCACCAAAACGGCAGTTAACGCAGTTATTTTGGAATTTGTGCTTGCCAGCTCATCATGTGACCTCCATAGATGGCTACACTCTGTAATAATCTTTTAAGAGAATATTACAAAAAAGCAATTCTTTTAGAAAAAAAAAACAGGGACTAACTTTGAATGTCGGAATGAATTCATTAACCATTTTCGGGATGGGAAAATTGTCCTTTAATCCAGAAAAATCCATTTTTTGGCCAAAATGAACAGTTGTTATCCCTTTAATTTAAAAATTGCACTGGTTAATGAATTCATTCTTTTAGAAAAAAAAACAGGGACTAACTTTGAATGTCGGAATGAATTCATTAACCATTTTCGGGATGGGAAAATTGTCCTTTAATCCAGAAAAATCCATTTTTTTGGCCAAAATGAACAGTTGTTATCCCTTTAATTTAAAAATTGCACTGGTTAATGAATTCATTCTTTTAGAAAAAAAAAAAGGGACTAACTTTGAATGTCGGAATGAATTCATTAACCATTTTCGGGATGGGAAAATTGTCCTTTAATCCAGAAAAATCCATTTTTTTGGCCAAAATGAACAGTTGTTATCCCTTTAATTTAAAAATTGCACTGGTTAATGAATTCATTCTTTTAGAAAAAAAAAAAAGGAGGGACTAACTTTGAATGTCGGAATGAATTCATTAACCATTTTCAGGATGGGAAAATCGTCCTTTGTTATCCCTTTAATTTAAAAATTCCACTGACCTGTCCTCTCCTAACACCACTCCAAAGCCCACATGTTCAACCCTCTTCAACCTAGGGTCATAATAACCTGCCTTCCTGGCCGCAGAAAATACAGTCTGAAAGTGGGTGCCCTGCAAACATGAAAAAAAGTTAGTGATGTTTCATATCTCTATTTAACAAAATTTATTTTTGTAGGCAACTTAAAATGTTCAGTTCCCATGTAAAAGTAAATTGAAATGGGTGGTAAAACAGCAATAACAAAACAAAACTATGTGTGCCCATATTATCTGGGGTTTTTTTCTACGACAGATAAATAAATTGCAGTGAAATTGTATTTTAGTTTCCTTTACGAATCTTAAAATTTACACAAATTTCAGCATTAAAATGGTAACGCCCAACTGAAAGTTGCAAATAAATATTATCATGAGGACTTTGCAACCTCCGTGATTTATCTACACATACCTGTCCAGCATCAACCACGTAGATCAACCAATCACCTTTTTCCACAAACAGACGATGTTTTACAGCCGCCATGTCAGATGTGTCGTAGGTATAGCCACCATCAGATTTCACCAGTGTTAGAGGTATGCTAGAGTCGGGGACAAACATTATCTTTCTCCCATCATCTATCTCTGTCAAACCTAGGAGCAAATGAAGAATGCTTAAAAAGATTTTTAATTATCTTANTCAACACATGCTGTCCTAGCAGGGATCTCGCAATTAAACCTCCGAACCATAATTTTATCCACTTTATGGCACGTGTGAAGGCAGGGAGACTATTGGTGGATAAGTCAGCTCTTCTTTCATGTAGGGTCTGCCATATTTGATCCTCAGATCAGCAGACCAGAGGATCATCTGTTGTAAAGGCCCTCTGAGACTTTTGTTACAAACCAATACTTTCAATTATTTAATTGAATTAATATAAATTTTGTTGGACCGAGGTAGATTAAATTAAAAAAGCTAAGGCCAATTTTCAGGGGAAATTTTTTATTTGTGATACTTGCTCATGGTAGTTTGGCGTGCATACCTCTCCATTTACAGTCCAAGATTTACCTTGTCTTAACAACATGTGAGAGTGTAACTGTTTAAAATCAGTGCTTCTACATTGTACTTGTATTCCAGACAACACATTAATTTGGGAAGATATATTTCATACTTAGGGCAGCAAATGCTCCCATTAATTAAACTATAACAGTAGTTTATCATGCACAATTCTGTATCATACATTTAATATTCTAATTATCCGTATTATTCTTTATTTGCCTGTAACATAAATAAGTTATGTCATAGTGTTCTATAAAATGTTTTAAATACTTACTTCACAGTTCATTAATCATTTGTAAATCATAAAAAATATTTAACTTAAAACTTTGATATATATCCATATTAAAAAAAATATTTATGATAAGTTTTTTTCTAAATAAAAGATAAATGTTGTAAGTAACAAAAAGTTGGTTTATCAGTCAAAATATACTGTTTTAAATATATTTTGTTAGTCTTTCATGATCAAGTTATTTTAAGTCATATGTGACAAACAAGTTTTACTTTGGATGAGAATTCAATACATATCTTTGGTTTATACACGAGAGAAAAAAATTTGGCAAGAGACCAACGTACTAGTGTTATTCACCTCCAGTAACAAAACACATTGGTAAAGGAAGGTAATACATTTGGCACATGTGGTAAGCTTAGTTTAATCAATCTTTGTTAAATCAGACTTTTCATAATCAGACGTCCATATGATCACTTTGTTTAAGCAGACAGACAGCCCACGCGGGGACTATGTACCAAGTGTAAGGCAACTCCGCCTTTAGCTTCATAATTAAAAAAAAAAACCAAGGTGAAGGGAACTAATTAACCAAGATGTTTTAGGCAAAATGTCAGTTTTGATTTTCTCATTCCCAGAGCAGTTATGCTTTATGTTAATAATAATCAAGGGATTAAAGAAGATGCCATTTCCTTAGGCTTACTAAATCTAATTGGTTTTATCTATTTCATTATCCTTTACAAATATTGATGGCAAAGCCTATGAGAATTACCTTCATAGCACCCTGAGTATAGTCAAGGCATACAACTGCTAATATAAGAAACCTAAATTTTCCAGAAATGAACCAACAAAAACAAAAACTAGCCAAGAACCCTATTTTACAAAAGAAAAATTAGTCTCTGCTAAACAAGCTAAACAAATTGATCCACTTCAGTTGCTTTCACAAAAAAAAAAAAAAAAAAAAAAGAAAAGAAAAATATGCAAGGGTCGCTTATCTCTCTCCTGAACTAAAAACAATGCCCATGGTCCAAATTTTTATTTTTCTTCAAGGGGATTGAAACTGATTAATATGGCAGCAGCCTGTTTAGGTATCAGTACTACCCAACTACCAGACTCTGCACCAAAGGATCCAAAATTCACTGGTAGATCAGATCACACTACCCGTTTTCAAGGCATGTATCAGTACGCACTTCACAGTATCATACCCCATGACAAATTTTGTCCGACAACCCCGAGCTCAAGCTGTCTTCCAGGTATCGCATCTCATTTTTGTTAAGTAAGAGTCATAAGACTACAACAACAGGTGCAGCCGTTGACAAAATCTAATAATTTCAGTCAACAACATTTGATTCATTTTTTGTTACCAGTAAAAAGATCATTCAGGATCTTTCCATGCCAAGTCTGGTAGGCCTGGGTATGTCAACTACATCAATGGTGCAGCAATCATCTAAGGACTAAGATAGAGGCTTGATCCAATATCACAGGGTTTATTACAGTCTGCTATCTGAGTTTAACACACTTAACCAAGCACATATTTCACAGAAAAATTTGATGACATTATAGATGAACTGGTACAATTTTTGTATCTAATCATTTCCCCATAATTTTTGTTTCTGTTCATTTGTGATAAATTTTTTCAAATTAAAAAAGAAATCCAGTATATTGTCCAAAAGTATTTTTATAATCTAGAGGTAAAGAATCACACTTATCAAAACTTCAATTAGTCACGCCAACTTTCTCTTTGATGTTTCATGGTATTATTCTGGAAAGACATTAATTCTATAAAGAATGTTATGGTATTGAACAACATTAAAGGGAAAACAACTGTTCATACTATATCCATATTCCACAATAAATACACTGTAAACAACTCATAGAAATATAATAAATTCTATTTTACCACTAAAACGGCAGTTAGCACAATTATTTTGGAATTTGTGCTTGCCAGCTTATCACACTCTGTAATAATCTCTTAAAAGAATATTACAAAAAAGCAACTCTTTTAGAAAAAAAAACAGGGACTAACTTTGAATGTCGGAATGAATTCATTAACCATTTTCAGCATGGGAAAATCGTCCTTTAGTCCAGAAAAATCCAATTTTTTGGCCAAAATGAACAGTTGTTATCCCTTTAATTTAAAAATTGCACCGACCTGTCCTCTCCTAACACCACTCCAAAGCCCACATGTTCAACCCTCTTCAACTTGGGGTCATAATAACCTGCCTTCCTGGCCGCAGAAAATACAGTCTGAAAGTGGGTGCCCTGCAAACATGAAAAAAATTAGTGATGTTTCGTATCTCTATATAACAAAATTTAATTTTGTAGGCAACTTAAAATGTTCAGTTCCCATGTGAAAGTAAATTGAAATGGGTGGTAAAACAGCAATAATAAAACAAAACTATGTGTGCCCAAATTATCTGGGTTTTTTTCTACGGCAGATAAATAAATTGCAGTGAAATTGTATTTTAGTTTACTTTATGACTCTTAAAATTTACACAAATTTCAGCATTTAAATGGTAACACCCAACTTAAAGTTGCAAATAAATATTATCATGAGTACTTCAAAACCTCTGTGATTATCTTCGCATACCTGTCCAGCATCAACCACGTAGATCAACCAATCACCTTTTTCAACAAACAGACGATGTTTTACAGCCGCCATGTCGGACGTGTCGTAGGTATAGCCACCGTCAGATTTCACCAGTGTTAGAGGTATGCTAGAGTCAGGGACAAACATTATCTTTCTACCATCATCTATCTCTGTCAAACCTAGAAGCAAATGAAGAAGGTTTAAAAAGATTTTTAATTATCTAAATGAACTAAATTAAATTGATTTAAATCTGTCTATCAGGGCCCAGTTTCATCAACACTCTGCAATGCTCTTGACATGGTCTGCAACGCTCTTGACATCATCTTACATAATGAGTAAAAATTTGAAGGCTTATTATAGTAACATGCATACTTCCTCAATTCTTTTCTTCTTTTGTAGGAAATTAAAACTCTCTGTACCTTTTGCGTCCAGTTCTTTCACCACTTCGCTCATCAAATCTTGGTAAAAAGATTCACCTCGCTCCACAATGGATACATCAAGCCGTTGGTATATTTTCTCAAATTCTGAAAAACATATAAAACTTGCATCTACACTAATTTTTTATTTTAATAAAATTGTAACCAAGGATTTGTATATCTAAACCAACATACCCTCCACACAGAGAAATTGGAGTTTAAAAGTTTTTTTTTAATCTCCTGAATAAACTATGCATATGTACATGTACGTTCATGTGTGTGTGAGTATGTGCATGTATGACTGTTTGTTTAACCCAATCATGTTTGTGTTCTGTCTCATCACATCTTGTATTCTTCGTGTGTGTGTGTGTGTGTGTGTGTGTGTGTGTGTGTGTGTGTGTGTGTGTGTGCATGCGTGCGTGCATGTGTGTGCACATGTGTGTAAATGTGGTAAGTCTCCACATACCCATCCTGGATACATCACATATCAAGTTCCATCCTTTGAGAGAGTCAGGTTCATGGGCCTGGAGGCTGACAACAGCTGCATATGCACGCTTTTTGAACTCTTCATCATTGTCAAAACGAACCTTGGATTCCTACACAGGGAGAATACTCATGGTTTTTATATGACATATTATATGGGGTACCATATAATGCAAAAAAAAAAAAACAATGTTACAGTAACAGTAACTGACTTAAACAGTTTTCATCTCATATGTTATCTACATTCTAAGTTACAGTTAGGTTTAGCATAACATGCATGACTCTATTTTTTTTATTTTTTTTTTTTTTGAGAAATGTGGAATGTTTTTCTTTTAAGACTTAAAAGCACTGTCTGAAAACTACATGCACATTAAGCAAATTTTCAAGTGACTTAAAAAGACTCTCCAGTGTCAAGGGGCCAAGTTATGCAGATTCTTCTTCAGTTAAACCAGAACTTTAAAAAAATAAGTCTCTATGGCACTATCTCAAGGCTTTTTTTATATATATAAAAAAAGAAATTGTTATTATTGAAAACTTTTCTGCAGTGAATTAAGAGAAGTGGTTTGTACAAAATTTCATATTAAAATCGCCAGGGACCCAATTTTAATTTCTCAATCAAATTCACCTTGTAGAACGCCTGCAGATCCCCAATAGGTGGCGACACTGTCAGGTAGTTTGGGAACTTGTCCTTGAGGTGTGCAATCAGCATCCCAAACTGTGTCCCCCAGTCTCCTATGTGATTCAACCTCAGAACATCATGCTCTAGAAATTCACACAGACGGCAGATGCTCTCACCAATAATGGTGGACCTAACGAAATGAGATATTCAAAATCATTATACTGTGCCTAAATTAAAATATTTTAGATACAAGTCTTGAATTGGTGATTTTACATCATTTAGCCTCCCAAAATTTACTGATGTGACACTTGAAAAATGAAGACTATATGAACTAGCCATCTAGTACTAGGGTAGGTGGAAATTATGATTTTGGGAAATAATCATAGGAAATCACAGAAAGTTCTACAAAAAAAAAGGGAACTTCATTATCAAAGATCCTACATGAATGCATACCTTAGATGTCCAACATGCATTTCCTTGGCAATGTTTGGTGAAGAGAAATCAACCACTACTCTCTTCTTTGCTGCTATAACAGGAGGACGCACTCCTTTGCCCAGCAAATCTCTCAGTTGCACCGATATGAAATCCTTCTTCAGATGAACATTGATAAAGCCTGGTCCCGCAATTTCAGTCTGCATGATACAAAAAAAGGGGATATCATTTGTCTTGTGAATGTGTTCAAGTGAGTTTAAACTTTAAAAATTATGAAAAGTTAATGCTGAGACTGCAATATTTTCCTGGCATTCCCTTATAACAGGAGTATTAGGTCCATTTCTGATCACGTCAAGTGGTGCACTCAAAGTGATACAGTACCAGTAGGTGCCAGTATACTTTGAGAGATTGACAAATTATACTGTTATGTACAACAAGGACAAAACTGTCATTTAATGAAAAAGTCTGAAAATATGGCATGGGGTCCAGGGGGTCTCTACATCAATCTCAAAAATGTTTCTTTTTTTGGCTCCTGAGAAGTTGGAAAGCTGTTATCCCTTACAAAAATTTGGCCCAATTTCCTATAGGATCCTATAATTGGTGGTTGGAAAAAAACTCATTGCTTGTACAAATAAGAGAGTCAACCAAATGTTACCCACAATCTTCTTAAATTACAAGACGGATTAACCACTTCATTGCCAGCAAGGTGCATGTGAGATCCACTAGTGCTTTGCACTAATGAGAAAAATTCACATTTACCTCGCGGACTCTTGGGGCACGTAAATACATAAAGCTTACCTTATCTATGAGCTCGTTCTCAGGCAGTTTACCAACTATAGCCTGAGCTATATCCCTGGGGGAAGCCTTCTGACCCTGGGACTTCAGTATCTGAAGATCAAGAAGATTAATCTTATTTATATCCTTTGTCATAAAATTATTCTAATTGGTGTGAATTTTTTAGATATTCAATGTATCAGTTCTCAGTCTTGTTTTTTGAGTAAGTTTTGTCAGAAACAAAGGGCTATTCCAATTTAAAAAAACTTCACCAATTAGAGAGAGAGAGAGAGAGGTCAGTTAGTCTAATTTTGTAAACTCACAGCAGGCCCGTAGCCAGCAATTTCAAAAGGGGGGGTTCTTTTTCTGAAAAAGTGGACCTTTTCCCATAAAAACTTCATGTACCTAGATCAAATTTTACCCAGAGTGGACCTTTTCCCAGCAAAAGGGGCGGTTCTTTCGAACCCCCCAACCCCCCCTGGCTACGGGCCTGCACAGTCAAGTCTCATGCATTGCAGGTCATGTGAAAAAGCACGAGAAAGTGTGTCAGTATATACTGTTTGTGGTTTTAAGGAATAAATACATCATTTCTTATAGAACAATCACATATGCTACCTGTGCTATACCCATGGCACTGTTGCACTGATAGTCCCCAAACTTCTCATTAGTGCTCACAGTGACCACCAGGGGTGGGTTGGCAAGATCAGGATAAGCCTGGTTGATAGCTTGCTTGAAGATATCCTGAAGTATACTGGCTATGCTCAGCATGTTGTTGGATGATTTGGACTTCTCAGCAGCAATATTCTGTAGGGAAAATAGTAGACATGACTGTGATAAGTGCAACACAATCATTAAGATGAGACAATAAATTTTCAACCCCATCTTCTGTATAGCACTGGTCTCCTTAGGCAAATACAAGCAAAATGCAATGTAAAAAAAAAAAAAAAAAAAAAAAAAAAAAAAATATATATATATATATATATATATATATATATATATATATATATATATAAAATAATATTTTCAAAATTTCCTGACAAATTAATAGAACAAAATGATTAAGAATAGGAAAAAGTCAGCTGTATACAGGGAATACTATAGTGAACTTGACCATTACAAACATAAAAAAATTATACCTCAATGAAAACATCATTTCTAGGCCAAAATTATTTGGGAGAAAAATATAATATGACATCAAAAATATCTACTTACTCGCCTCAAATGTACAATCTGGAACTTAAGTTTAGCATTCTCTGTCCTAAGTTTGTCCAACTCTGGTGTGACCGAGTCCTCTGCAATCAGCCTCTCTGGGTCCTTCAAGCTGGCAATCTCTGACTCCAGTGATGCAATCTCTTTCTCCTGTAATGTAAATTTTCCTGTTAATAACTGGGCTTAAGACATTAACACTGGACCAATGACATACGCTCTAAACTGAAAAGAGAAGACAAGCCAGTAAAACCAGGCCTGTAGCCAGCAATTTCTAAGGGGTTCTTTTTCTGAAAAAGTGGACTTTTTACCATGCAACATTTGTGTACCTAGATTAAATTTGGTCCAGAGCTTACATTTTTCTGACAAAATGCCAGTTCGGTCTCTAATCCTTCAATCCCCCCACCCCCACCCCCTTAGACTCGAAAACTTTGTAACTGTTCAGTTTCTATAGTCCCCTTTTCTGCTTTGGATCAGTACACCCAGCTTAACTGTATAAATAAAAGAATAAGAAATTATTTCTATATAAAAGGTGTGGCTGCATGGGGGGTAAGGGAGATAACAATGTAATCTACTCAATGAATTATCTTATTTGTATGATCAATTTTAAGCAAGTCACCAAAATAAAAACTTTCGTGTGCTCAGATTGACATTTAAAATGGTATATACATGTAAATGTCTTTCATAAGAATTGCCTCAGACTCAAAATAATTAATCTCTTTGAAGAATTTAATATGGTACTAGAGTAAGTCCTGCACGAGTTTTGTGACTTTGACACGGTGATAGAAAAAAAACTTATACGGGTATACTGCATGAGTATATAGGAAGGGTACATACATATGTATGTCTCTCTTTTAAAAAAGTAATTTCTATATTAAATAATTTATACACCACTTGAAATGCCTTCAATGTCATACAACCAAGGTGAATTTGATCGGTTAAAATGTCAAGAAATTTCACTGGGTAAAGAACATTGTTTACTTTCGTTATCGATTTCTGATGCAATAGTCGGCATGAAAACAATTAGTTTCATTTCTTTATCATGTTCATTACTAGAATGATTATTTGCACGATTAAACAACAGAATAACCATCAATATGTAATGTCTAACACCCTTAAAATGCCAAATATTACGCAGAATTGTAATTGCCTTGCTAAACTGAACAAAATTATTCGAAAGTATTGACACTGACCACAACATTGTATTTTAACATATGCGGTGCATTGGGGCATACCGGTAGGTTCAAATCGTGTCACTACTTTTACCAGTGGGTGTAATAAGCCTCATATATTAACATTTAAGATCAAATACTGCTTTTATTAAACTTGGTTTATGATCACTGCTATAAATGCTGTTTTTCTGTCATATTTACCGCTTTCTCTGCACGAGCAAGAAACTCATCCATGTTGATGTCGCGTGGAACGGAAGTGAGAGACCGCACTTGCGCAGATAGTAAAAACAATGGCCGCTTCCATGCTAGAGGTAAAAAAAGATAGGAGGTTCTAACAAAATACAGTTTTTTCTTGTATCTAGAACTTGTATCTAGAACTTATTAGTGAAAATAATGCTAAACAATCTTTTAAAACCAATAGTTAGTGTTAAGGTTAACATTGGCGCCTGATTTTAAAGGTTTAAAAAGCGAAAATAATGAAATTATTCACAGTTCTGGGACGGCTCTCTGACTTGATCAGCTGATGTGTAGCACGAGTTTGGAAATATTTTCAGTTTTTAAGCGTGCTGAAAGAAAAAAGCATGTGTACTCTGGTTTGGAGTGAAATTCCTCTATATTTACACAGCATAGAGACCAGTCTTTGCATGACTAACTTAAGTACGACTACAAGACGCACTGCAATTCAGTTATAGTATGTTCTTTTTATCTTTCTTTGCCATTGGCACTAGCATTCATATCTATTTTATCTGTCTGCAGCGCTGAGTGTTAAATAAAGTTAAAAGCTATGCATTCTTGAAACTTCAATAAAGCATGATGATATATTGAGATTAAACATGATGCACTGAATCTTTATTTTTTAGATTCTGGTAGTGAATAAAACAATTTGACACATATACACCATCATTTTGGGACCATATTTAACTTATTAAAATAAGCACCCAGTACCAGCAGTGGTCATTACAGTGCACTACATAACAGTCATCAAGATGACTGCCCCAAGCATTTGTAGTGACACAACAGAAGCAGTGGACTTGTTTGAACCTCAGGGACTCTACCTCAAACCCATTGCAAGGATAAATGTCAGTGTACAACTGCCTCAGCTTAAGTCACCAGGTGAGTGCAGTCCAGCTTTTATGAACCTTTTTATATGGAATGAATGTCCTAATGAATGTTCTTATTAAACTTGTTTAAATTTAGTATGCTTAATTCAACTGTGGGCCTGGAATATGAAATTACGTGTTCGAGTTTATCTTGTGCATAATGCAGTTCAAAGGTTCCATGGTTTGTGTCAGATTTATGCAAGGTTGCATAAAGAAAACTCAAGTCCACATAATGACCAGTTAAACAAATTATACGTCATCACTCGGTAACTACATATTTAATTCTAACTGAAGTTACCAACCCTTACCTCTCCAAAATAATGTCCGTCTTCTCAGTGCTCCAAGTGATTCCAACCAAACTGGTGTTTCTTTAGGCTTTTTATATCAGTGTTGTACATATTAACTCACTGCTACATAAATTTAAAGCCAGGCACCTAGATTTGCAGCCCATATCCTATAGTAGCATTAAATTTATTACTAGAAATTGAAGGAGGCATTGTAGTATTAGGAAGAATTTAATATATCTAGAAGTTAAACACAATAGGTCAAAGGAGATGGATACATTTCAATGTATGTTTTGTCTTCTATTTCAGGAAAGTCTATATCAAACTGGGAAGTAATGGAAAAGGTCAAAGGTATGGTTAAACCTCACCAGTTCGTCACCCTTAAGGTAGCCAAAAGCACCTTGGATTTCATTCGTTTTGAAGGAGAAACGGAAAACAAGGCACTCATTAAAACTCTAATTGATAGACTTGATGGGAAGACTATTAAACTGGTGGGCTTCCCAGATCAACTCAAGGTCCGTGCGGCAGAGGCGAAACTGAATTTTCCGTCCAGGCATGATTGGGATTCCTTTTTCCGTGATGCCAAAAACATGAACGAAATGAAATTCGGAGAGAGACCCGACACCATTCATTTTAAGGAACTGCCATGTAGGTGGTTCGCTAATAAGAAAGACGAGAATAAAGACAAACCTAGTGAGTATATCCTCAAGAAAGTGATGGAGACTTTTGGGGAGGTCCGTTGTGTTGATATACCCATGTTGGACCCCTATCGCAGGGAAATGTCCAATAAAGCAGGCATACAGACTTTTTCCTTTGGACAGGATATCACATTTGAAGCCTTTGTACAGTATAAGGAGTATATTGGATTTGTAAAAGCCATGACAGCCTTCAGAGGAATGAAGTTATTGTACAAAGAAGGGGATGGAAAAGCTTACACTGCCAATTCTAAGGTATGGTAATTGTTCACTAAAGTATATATATATATTATCAAAGCCCACATACTTTGCAGTGTATTAGACTAAATTTTGAAAACTGTCATAAGATATAATGAGCATGGAAAATTACTATTTTTAAAATTACATTTATTAATTTACTTTCAGATTGATTTTGACAGGACCAAACACTTAACAGACAAAAACATCAGGAAAAGAAGGATAGAAAGAGACAAGTTAGAACAGTTAGAAAGAGAAAGAGAAGAAAAAGTTAGAAAAGAACGAGAGGAAGAGGAACGAAAAAAAGAAGAAGAAAGGTATTAGTTTTGTTTCACATAAGACCTCATTATGTACACCTCATTATTTTAGCCTACTTGTTGTGGGGCACATTTTTTTCTGAAGCGAAATTTCACTGACCTTGGCTGACTATATCATGTACCTCATTTTTCTGCCCCAATATTGAATTTTTTTTTTTACTGAAGACACAAAAGGAAGAATGGATGGGAGATTTCAATTTTACATTTTGTTTAATCTCTGTTTTTTTTCTTTTTTTTTTCTTTTGCAATTGACAGAAAAAGACTAGAAGAGGAGGAAAAGGAAAGGGAGCGAAAAAGAGAAGAAAAGCTCAGAAAGAGGGAGGAGAGATTGCAAAGTAGAGAAGAAAAGAGGCGTCTGAAAAGAGAAGAAAGACGGAGAAAAGAGGAAGAGAGGAAGATGAAGCTGAAGATTGCTCTAGAGGAAAGAAAAATCCTGATTGCTCAAAGAAAACTGGAGACCATACGCCTACTGGGGGAGCTTCTGTGCCGCGTCAAGGTATTTCAACGCCTAACGGACTGTTGGATGGCTTGTCTTGTGTGATGGCAGAGGCATCTTTTGAGACGACAATGACATCTGGTGGCAAACACTGGGACTTCTATGCTCTGAGTTGTTTGAGGATAGATAAGTGAAAGCTTACTGGGGCCAAGCAGAAATGCTTGTAGACTCACAGTAGCCTTGACACTTCGGGATATGGTTTATCGGGTTTAAAGAAATTCAAATTAAGATTTTTGTTTAAAATTTTGGAGTTTGTTACTAAGGCATTGATAAATGTATTTCTTAACTTCATTTGTAAAAAAAATTTACCATTCCCAATTAGTGCACAGTATTTTTTCAATGAAAATTTTAGATATTAATCACCCCTGAGGTCTTTATTTAATGATCTTGCAAAAAAAAAAAGAAATGAAAATGTGATATTTAATTTTTTTTCTTTTTTGTGCTTACTTTCATAGGTTGTAAAGCAGCAAGAAGAGCTGAAACAAAGAGAGAAAGAACTTGAGGAAGAACAGAAGCGACGAGTGGAAAAAGAAAAGCAGGAAAAACTGAGGGCAGTGCAGAAAAAGCTAGAGTCTGAAAAACGAAAAAAAGAAAGACTGGAAAGGCAGGAAAAAGAACTGAGAGATAAAATACTAAAAAATGTTAAACTTATGGAAGAAAGGAAGCAAGAAAAAGAAAGGGAATTTTTAAGAAAGAAAGTTGCTGGTCAGACACGGTTAAAGAGTGCAGTCATCATGAAGAAATGACTGGCAGAGGTGCTGGCAGAGAGAGAAGAAATGGATAAGCAATAAGGGGTCTATTTCATTTTTTTTTAACCTTTCTCCAAAATCATATTTCCCTTCAATTTATGAAACATTCCTTTTTGAAAACAAGTCTTATTTATTCAGGAAAAGTGGAATTTTTCCTCGCAAAATAACTAAGATTCTTCTGGTTTGCATTTTCCAGACATGCAGCAGTATATTACTTTTCTCAAGATACAAAGTGATACCTTTTCTTGTATTAACGAATCCATCTCTCTGTTCTCTGTCAGTGCCAAGCTCCAGTCATTGAATGGACGTGTTTACTGGGTTATCTGACCAGACTTAGCTGTGCCATCTGAACAAAACGATAACTGGAATGCTTCTTCTTACCAACATTGGAATTTTTTACTGGGTGAACTTAATGACTGTTTCAGACATGAGCTTTTTCCACAAAAACGCGGAATTCTGCATTTTTGAATTCAATTCCTATGGCGACCCCTGCACCCCCAGCCGGTTAGGTGTTGGGTCCCATGATAAATAACCAGAGGGTTTTTTTTTAAACCTAGGCTCATGTCTGCTGTTTTAAGGATGTTATACAATGTCGTTTAATTTTGAAGTCAATCGCTCATTTCTTCGGACATTTTGCCTAGTCAGAAGTGATCATCTTGTCCAGTTTCTGGTCTCTGAAGAAGAAGAGGTCTTTCAGTAAAGCACTGATAGGTCGTTTGATTGATTCTGATATTGACAGTAGGTCTGGCCGTTCCATGACTAAGACCTTAGTAAGAACAGCTTTGTTCATGATGGACATGAATATTTAAAAAAAAAAATAGAGAGTCAAATAGAAAGAATACGCTGTAACCAGTGAACACAAGACTTTGTGCCAATTAAGGAAAGAGGGTCTTAACTACTTGGTGATGTTATAATATTTGAAAGAAGTTGTGAGAATTACAGTCTCCATAAAGGATATCATTTCGCTATTCAAACACAATATGGTGCTTAAGAAAAGGTGTTTAGTAAATTGAAAATTTTTTTTCAATACCTTTCATAGATTTTGGAAGTATTGTGAACTATACCAGAAATCAGCTGACTTTAGTTTGTACATGGGCAATAACCCTGCATAGTGTACAGCAAATAAATGTGTTTAGGTATTTATAAACAGCTTGTTAATAATTTTGTGGTTTCAGGTACATGATTTGGATAAACTAATCATGCCACCTGTTTTTCACATAATAAGTTTTGTGTCATTGGTGTAAAGGAAACAAAAACAATGAAATTGATGTTTCAGTTTACTTAAGTATGTAAAGTTCAACTCGTATGGAGTAGCAAATATTCTGTAATATCTTGTAAGTAATTGTGAACCAGAACTGGATTATTTTTAATAAATATGTAATGCTCACTTTGGTTTTCTTGTACATCTGGGTATCATGTAGGGCGGGTTGCACAATACACCTCGAGTCTTGAACTTTTTAAAAAGATTATGATTTAAAAATCATAATTTTGGTCTACTTAAATTTAGGAAAGACCCAAGTGCTTCACTATAGTTTGTGAATGTGTGTTACAGCGTAAGAATAACATTTGTTAGCTTGTACTGAAGATCTAAAACAGAAATTAGCTAATCGGTGTTCAGCTCTCCTAAATGCCCAATTGACTTTAGTCAAAGTCCATCCTGCGTTAAAAAAAAAAAAAAAGAAAAAAAACGCTGACTTTGTTTTTGACGGCTTACCAGTTGTCTGTAATATCAAAGTGTTATAAGTGTGTTTTACAATTATGGGTAACAATTACCTTTAAAAAATAAAAAATAAAAAGAAAAACGAAAATTAGTTGATATTCACTCTGTAACAAAAAAGGGAAGATCAGAAATGGACTATGAAAGTGATACAGCCTCACCAAATCAATGTTCTATATCAATCAGAATTACATACATCATCAAAAAATTTTAAAAAAAATCTAGTTTTCGGTAGAGTGGGGAAAATTTGAGCAAAGTTTCTTTCATCCTGGTTCCTACCATTTCTTGTCTATTATCTATCTACTTGAACGTATTTATATAAAACATGTTTGTATGGCCACCCCATTTGTTTACTCAGAATGAACCATACCAGTGCATCAATATGACAATGGACAGGTGAGCGTACGTTACCTGTCTTGACCAATTCCCTTCTAAAAGTGTTGAGGGGGCATAGTACAGGGGCGGGTCCAGGATTATTTGAAGGGGGGTCCGGTTTTTAGGAGTGATAGGCCGCGGATGCGAAGTCGACCTAGCGTGGGGTTCGGGGCCCGCTGAAGGGCCCCGATAATTTTTTGTATTTTAGAGTGCGAACGGTGCTATTTGGAACGGTTTGAAACTATGATTCAGTCCAGGCGGGGGAGGGGGGGGGGGTCGGCTTCGCATCAGTGCCCCCCTTCAAATAATCCTGGATCCGCCCCTGATTTGCATAACAATACTTCTCTCTGCTCAGTGCGAGTTGTCATCCCGACTGGTCACTTGCCAGCTAGACCCTGTAAGAAGAGGACGCAGGACAGCCGTGATGAGGTCACAGAGACGAACATTTCATTCAGCCTAGGGCCCGGTGGAAATTGATTGAAGTAAATTTGTCTTGTGAGTAAATTTATGTCTACAAGTGTAAAAAAAAAAGTGGAAAGAAGTTGGATAATTGTGAATAATTCAGCAATGTGGTATGCACGGCTAGTGTCAGTGTAATTCCACCCCCTTTGTTATCAGCTGAGCTTTATAAGGTTTGGTATATACTCTTTGTCAGATGCTTGTTTCAATTTTGATTTTGTGTGTTGAGTTGAGACTCTTTGTCGCTTATAATTTAGTCGTTCTTTGCACCAAGGTAGGCCTACGGTTTTAAACCTTTTTTAAAAAACTTTTTGGTGTTCTTACGGGTTCAAATGCTAGGTAATAATTTCCTTTAATTATACGCATTGAATACGTAAATGACGTTTGTCTGGGAAGTTCATTGGACTTTGTAAGGGAAAGTCTTGATAATATCTAATAAATAGTACTGGTCATATTATTTCTTGTTATTTTTTCATTTCATTTTCTTTTCTTTTACTCGTATTTTACATTGTAAAGTCTATTATTTGGATTTCAACTCAAAAGAAATGTTCTCCCTTTTCTTCTATTTTTTTTTCTTATCATTATCATTATTATTATCTTATCGATTTGTGGAAATTGGTACAAAGCATTCATTAAAATATGTTGTGGGACAGAAAGTTTTAAATCTTGATATACATTCCCTTTCATTCGACTTATAGACAGACACTGTTTGTGTTTGTGTATATTTTGATCACTGTGTCTGTCCTTGTCGTTGCCGTCGCCGTCCGAATACAAGTCCCTATAACTGCCAAATCGTATGTTCATTTTACTTCAAATTTACTGAGTTACATTGTTTGGTTATAAATAAAACGCGCTTCTGCATCCCTACAAAATTCCTTTGTACGTCAATGATTACTATAGTAGTTTTGTCGCGAGATATTTTTGTAGCATTTTTGTTATCAATCATTTTAGATTAACATTTTCTTTTTATGATCAAATAGTTATATTAAATTTTGTAATAAAGTTCACTCGGGTTTGGTACTAATGAAAGCGGCCTTAAATGGCCACAAGTCAAATTAAATATATATAATGTGTTCTTCCTTCTTCCGTTTAATTTGTATATAATTCCTTACACTACACGAGATATAACAAGGTTTCTCTTTGAAATGCTCCAATTTTTAACGAAAGCATTTTTTGTGTATACATAGTTCGGCGATGTTCTCCCCATAAATACCAAATCCTACTTTTATTTTGGTTCAAATTTTTACTGAATTGTATTGTATGATAATATGGCAGGTTATTTTTTAAAATCAGGATGTCAGGCTATTTTTATGAAAGTCATGTTTTTTGTCTTTTCCTTTTTTCTTTCTTCCTTATTTTATTTGTCAATATTGCTGCAATGTTTTTTGTTGTTTGGTGTCTGTTTTTATGCTAGCTTTGTTGTTTAATTACTTTGGTGTTTAGTTGGTCTAAGCGCATTTTTTCAAGATGACCACGTCTTCCTCTCTTAAGTTATAAATATTAGTTCAATTATGCATTGAAATTTTATTTATATAAAAGTTTTATTATATTTCAGAACTGCCTACAATTCGTCGGGATCCTGCAGAATACACTGCGTCTGATTGACCTTACCCGAGTCTTCTGGTTATATTATGGAACCTGACACAGACACGCACGCACGCACGTGTCCGCTGTTACAGTACACATACTCACGTTAACACACACACACACACCACGCATTTACACACTCACGTTCACACAAACACTACACATTAAATATGCCGAAAATTATCCGTGCTCTTACTTTGATTTTGAAAAACTATTTCGGTGTACATATTATTATTATTTTTTATCTCAAATTGATAGCCTAGGGATTGATCTTGTTTATTTTGAATATATAATTACCTCAGGGCAAGATCGACTGCTTATGATTCTCTTTGAAACTTATTCATATTGTCTGCTTATGTCATAAATAATACATGCCATTGTGGATTTCATTATCATTCCATCTCTTGTATCGTTAGTGTTGTGAGCAATCTATAAATATAAATGCGCTTTGTTCATCTAAAAGGCGGAGAAGTAAATTTTCTAAACTAAAACAAACCTTTGTGAGTGGTAAAAAAATGAAATAAACACAATGTCTCCGTATTGAGACTATAGTTACAAATATGCAGTGGATTACGTACATCACGAAATATGAATAAGTAAATTTTGGATTTGCTTATTTTCAGATGTTAAACGGTATCATATCTGTTCAATGTTTTTTACCTCCCTCGGCTTGGTCTACACACGGTATAATATGTATACACTATATACAGTACTAATGGTATTTATCATGTCCATAGATTAGCTGACTCATTTTCTTTTTTCTGATTTTTCAAATTTAGTTTGGCACCATTTTTAAAAGTAAGACGCATGGAAATTTGTATTGATATTTCAGTGCGTAAAGAAAGTATTTCGGCACCATCCAAAATCGTGATGTTGACATGTCAAATATTCAGATATGCCCAAATTTAAGGCCTGTGCTTTAAAAAATGGCAAACTAAGATGGATGACATTTTTTCAAATCTACATGTTCTTACGACAAAAGTCCAATGCAACCAAAATCTGTTCTAAGCATATTTCATGCTTTCAATATCTTTTATAATTTGACAATGTGTTATCTATTGTGAATTCATGCTATTTTATATTTTCTTCAAGTTTTCGTAAAGGTTGTTATACAATAAAGAACATATTCAAAAACACATTGTTTTGTAGTTTGCAATGAGTGCGATTTGTGCGACAGTTGAAACGAATCCAGTTGTACCAGGGGCATTGGAAGATGTGCAAGTGTGTTAAATGTGATGGGGTTATGTAAAATGAGTCCATGCCTAAGGGGGGGGGGGGGGGGTGAGTTCATTCTTGATTTT